GGGAAGGGGGGGGGGGTGACGGATCGGCTAGCGTATTTTCTGTGCCGCAGTCGTAGGGCTGCTCCTGGCTCAGGGTCACCTGGACTGCCGTGAGCTTGGACCTCATTGTCGCAATTCCCCAAGTGAACACGGCCTCAAGGAGACCAAATGCCTTCTCTGCCCGCGCACCTGCCAAGGAAAGCTAGATAACCTGTGTGAAAGGGTCTGCTTGGGGATTATTCCGAGATATCTGCTCCAGAATTGCTTCTTTCCATCCCATCTTGTTAAAAGGTAGATATAATCCTTAGAAAAGTCCCGCCTTTGGTGATTGGGTTGATATACCAAGCATCCCTTGGTGCCCTTATTTGTGTCTCACCTCTATGGAGTCTTTTTTAATTGGGAAATTCAAGAAACATTCTTTCAAATAGTCAGATTGCTGCAACACACTCTCACTCCTAGATACGGAAACAGAACTAAAAAATAAAAATAAAAATAAAAAATCATTTGCCTGTTCCTCTAAGAGTGAATGTCCTCATCAGGCCTGGGCAGGTGAGCAGCAAGGGCCAGTTTTATTCTAAAATTTCCCATTCTCACCAAGGAGGACAGCAGCCCCTCCACCCCACCAAAAAGTAGACAACAATACATAGCTGCACTTCTGTAAAATTCTTCCTCAGGACTCAATTATGTCTAAAAACCTGGTTGTTTCAGGGGTCCTTGAAGAAAGGGGGTAGTGATAAAAAGCATTTTTCATCATAATTAGGTGCTTTCTATATTCTGAGACTATTCCCAGAAACACAAGATTACTGTGTAATAAAGGACTTTTAAAGATGAAAGCAAGCAATGCTAATGTGAGCAGGGTGCTGAGTAAGCTCTTTAGTCTCTGATTTTTAAACAGAGCTTGGACCCTTTCCTTTGGACTGCAGCATGCTGGGAACCAGTCTGAATAATGATGGAAGAGAAAGATTCAGCACAATCAGTCCTTTGATTTCTGCACCCCTGCTTTTCAAGGAGCAAGTTAGTCATTCAAGTACCTAAAAACAAACAAACAAACAAGCTGACAAACAAATCTCCCTCCTTGAGGTTTTTGAGTTTGGAAGTCACCGAATGCCTCCTTTAAGAATCTATGAGTACTTTAAATCTAATAGTTGCTTTAAAACAGATAGTTGTTTCTTGGCAAGGATAAATAGCATTATTATCCCAGAATACTGCATTTTAAAATTTAAATCACAATTTAAAATCCCAGCCAAGTTAAGAGTAAATTTCCTATCTCCTCTTCCTTAAAACAGAGATAGTAGGCTCTTTTTATCTCACATTGTTATTGTGGAGATCAAGTGGGTACAGTTTATATCAAGTAATTTTGATGTCAGGAATTTTTTTTTTTATATTCTCACCTGAAGATATTTTTTCCATTGCTTTTCAGAGAGAGTGGAAGGCGGGGGGGGGGG